ATAGTGCCTGCTTGACCCTAGCCACATTTGACCAGACTTGCTTTCATGAGCAATTGTTTTAGGGTTTAAAGTAGATGCCATCTGTAAAAACAGATAAGCATTCTTTAAAATAAAATTTAAATTTCCATTTCTTAGTTTTTATATGATTATTTATCTCTATTTAGATTAAGAAAAACTTGTGTTGTGTGAACGTGTGCATATAAATTTGCATTTTTTTTCATATAGAAATTATGGGTCCTTAAAATAGTTTAAAAGAAAGCTAAAGTCAATGGGCACGCCACGAAACATTCAGCTTTGTAAGAATTGCGGTATCGTACAGCACGCCAGTTTCACTGCGCATGCGCTGACGAACCTTATGAAGCACAGAATGATCATGGGCCTGTTACGTAAATAAGGGCACGCCATTAAACATTCGGCTTAGTAAGAATTACGGTATCGTACAGCACGTCAGTTTCACTGCGCATGCGCTGACGAACCTCATGAAGCACGGAATGATCATGGGCCTGTTACGTAAGTAAGGGCACGCCACGATACATTCGGCTTTGTAAGAATTACGGTATCGTACAGCACGCCAGTTTCATGCGCTCACGAAACTTATGAAGCACGGAATGATCATGGGCTTGTTACATAAATAAGGGTACGCCACGAAACATTAGGCTTTGGAAGCACTAGAAAAGATTTTCATTCCAGTGCTAACAAAAACATACGTTTAACACAACACTTTTCACTTCACTTATTATAGTCCGCCAAGAGACGGACTATACTAACGCATGATAATTGTAGATGTTATTATTTTTTTGATGAGTAGCAAACACTGCGAAACTCCCCAAAAATATTACCAGATACTATTTTTTTCTGAAAGCTGTAGTAAGCGTCCGTTCTCCTCAGCCGTTTTGAGAAATCTGAGGTCAACAAGCCGGTGTGTTCTGTGGGTGAGGATTAGGGGTTTGGGGTAATAGGCAGTTACGGCAATTGGTGGTTGGGGATTGTTCTCCTGTTTTTCGTTCTGGTGGGCTGTTGTTTAATTTAACAACGATGACTCAACTCGGTTGGGATGTACCGATTATGCTTTTTAGCGTAATTGCTGCAGCATCTTGACACCAGACCGGAGACAGAAAAATGATGACCTCTACCACAGGATCTCCAATTTAATACAGATTGTCACTTTTATGATGTTCTAAAATGCTTTCACTTTTGCCATCCCAAAAAATCTGTAAAGTTTGGATCTGTTTTCTGGTACTAATTAAGCATTCCACTTCAGTTACGCCTGGTACATGAGACACATCCAGCCACATAGCTTCCCATATTAGTTACATAAAATTACAATTTCAATCCCTCCTGCTTGCTTAGTTTAAAATTACTTAGTAATATTATAATTGAATAATAATATTTAATAATCTCTGATGAACATAGAATAAAATCCTCATTGCTTGCAACAATATCAGGATTTAGGCAAGAAGTGCTATAGGTCTAGCTTTCCCAGTAGTCTGCTAGGCCTGGCCAAAAGGGTGAATGATCCCTGGCCTGTGTCTAGCTCTGGAGTCAGGTAAGCTGGCAATTGGTATTGTCACCTCTTTCTAAAAAGCATGTCATTTATGCTTTCATGTACAAACATACAATCTATCTTGAAATTGGTCAACCCTTTCTGCAATTCATGTACCCTCTTGTGAGATTAGATGTCACCTGACTGTTTATCTGTAACACCACTGACTGTTATCTTCTTAATCAGTGGCTCTTCAGCATTCTAGTTATTTCTTCATTTAAATATGGTCATCATAACAGGCATTCAGACATTCAAAAAACCTACCTACTTAAGTAAATCAAGGTTTTATATTCGTAATTTAACTTGATTCCCATTCCACGGCATTCTCTATCAAAGTTGTCTCAATTTGTTTCCTATAAGCAGAAAAAAAATACATGTAACTTTTGGCTTATGATAAAATTAAACAATTTAGATGTACACTATTCTGTTCCTTCATATACAGTATTCATGGTGCAGATGTGTTTCTTGTTTTTTGAGGAGACGGGAATGTGCTGTCATGAGAATTTCAGCTGAAGACCAGGGTGACGGGAATGACTCACCATGGCTGCACAAAAATCTTGGAGGGCATTTAGATTTAATGGGCATTTAGGAAGCAGCTATTGCATTATTTCCATCAATCAAAGAGTGTGGAATGTACTATCTATTAGCCATGACTGGAAGAGCACTGGCTCCAGGAAAGGTCCTATTCCTGCCTGCCATGACTGGCAGTGCCGGTTGTATTCCAGAAAACTGAATATTATGGGGGGGGGGGGGATTGTTACTAATTATAATCATTATTGTACTGAGTTATAGACTACCTAGAGAGATGTTACTGAGTCTGTGCAAGGAAAACAGTTTATTACTATCCGGATAAGACAAATCAAGGGATAAATATACACATTAGAAAATGGCAAAAAAGCTAAAGTAGCTATTGTAGAAAAAGAGGAAATAATATTGCAAAGGTGAGGCGTGGAGTTTTGTCACCACACACAAATATTCGTGTGCGCCCGGCCTACAAGCCACACCCCCACCAGAATGGTAGCTCAAGTAAGCCTATTTTAGGCCACATTATGGCAGTGAAGCATCTGGATCCAGTGGGTTAAATACTCCTTTATGTTTAAGTCACTATAACTCGCTCAACACATTACACTTCCTTCTTGTCCATGGGACCATTTTTCATTTCCATATACAACAGTCTGAACAAAGGAATAAGAAGAGAAAAAAATTGCTTTTTGATGTTTTATTTCATGACATGTTGACTAATTTGCTAATAAACAAAAGTATTATAATACTTTATGCTTAAACACATTCATCTCAAGATTCTACAGACAGAACATGGAATGAAAGTATGGAAGCTTAAATAATTCAGAGATTCTTTGCCTTTTCAGCAGTTGCAAAGTTAAATTAAACCCAAACTTTTATACAATTTTTGCAAACTATGACAGTTACAGATGTAAATGCATTTCTCTTGAACATAAATCTTCATACAACTGGTCTACTTCAAGTGATGGCAAATTTGAACAATTTCACCCATAAAAGAGATCTTCCCCCGAATCTTTTTTTCTCATACTCCTTTCTTGCATCTGCAACCTGATGACACTTGATCACTTCACTGGAAAAAATACACAGAAAAAATGAAAAACAATTCATTAGCCAAGACTCAAGTTCAAAAACAAATGTTACTCAAGGAGAAAATAAATTCATAATAAAATAAAATAAAACTGTTTCCTCAGATGTAACATACAAAGTGAGCTTTGATGCATAAAAGAAAAATAAAGGGCCAGTTACTCACAGAAATTTGAGATCAATTTTCTGAATTTGGCTACAGTAATTTTCAATAAGGTAATAATAATAAAAACAAAAACAAAAAAAAAGAAAAAATGTAAATAAATAACAACCATACATTCATTCTGAAAATCTCCATAAATCTAGTCCTTTCCCAATGACCCAAACCTGTACTGGAGGTAGTCTCATTCACCATTCTTTCTGACAAGTTCAGCTTGCATCCACATTTATTATCAAACTAAACTAGTTGCCTCTTCCAATGATTACTTAACATCACTGCATACAATTAGTTTTTTATGCAATTTGTCTTTAAACTGGAATGATTTCACATAAAATGCTGGTATTTTGTTGTAAAATTCATTCTTTACTTATTTTTCCTGTCAATCAGAAGATAAATTTGTGCTCTTACTTATTAGATTTTACATCTGCTTTCAATAAACTTTTTCAATTTTGCACTACATAAATAGAATTAAAAATGTATCTAAAATTAATCATACAAAAATAAAATAGCAGATGAACAACTGCTTTGCTTGAATCAGTTTCTTACACTTTTTATTCACCCTTTTCTACCTTCTCTTATTCAGTCTAATTAATTTAAACATAAAAACACCAGTAAAATTATTTATTATCCCTGACTGTCTACTGTGACAGCATGAAATATACAGAAACTTTACTAGTCATCATGAAAGCATTTCTGCACCTGACTTTCCTGACACTATCTTTAGAAGCAATAGATGTCTCTAACCTATACCTTTGCTACATGAATTAACAGAAATCTGTTATTATTACATTTAATTTTTAATGCCACTGGCAAGTCCCAATGCCTTAAAAAAATATTTGAAGGTGCATTTCCTTAGAAAAAAAAATCATATTCTACACAGGCAACCTTGATGGTTGCAAGTTGCATTCCAAATTGAACTGATAAATGCATTTCTCTTGAACATAAATCTTCATACAACTGGTCTACTTCAAGTGATGGCAAATTTGAACAATTTCACCCATAAAAGAGATCTTCCCCCGAATCTTTTTTTCTCATACTCCTTTCTTGCATCTGCAACCTGATGACACTTGATCACTTCACTGGAAAAAATACACAGAAAAAATGAAAAACAATTCATTAGCCAAGACTCAAGTTCAAAAACAAATGTTACTCAAGGAGAAAATAAATTTTATACAATTTTTGCAAACTATGACAGTTACAGATGGATGCTTACTCTCCCTATATAAAAAAACAAAAAACAAAAAAAAGAAAAAATGTAAATAAATAACAACCATACATTCATTCTGAAAATCTCCATAAATCTAGTCCTTTCCCAATGACCCAAACCTGTACTGGAGGTAGTCTCATTCACCATTCTTTCTGACAAGTTCAGCTTGCATCCACATTTATTATCAAACTAAACTAGTTGCCTCTTCCAATGATTACTTAACATCACTGCATACAATTAGTTTTTTATGCAATTTGTCTTTAAACTGGAATGATTTCACATAAAATGCTGGTATTTTGTTGTAAAATTCATTCTTTACTTATTTTTCCTGTCAATCAGAAGATAAATTTGTGCTCTTACTTATTAGATTTTACATCTGCTTTCAATAAACTTTTTCAATTTTGCACTACATAAATAGAATTAAAAATGTATCTAAAATTAATCATACAAAAATAAAATAGCAGATGAACAACTGCTTTGCTTGAATCAGTTTCTTACACTTTTTATTCACCCTTTTCTACCTTCTCTTATTCAGTCTAATTAATTTAAACATAAAAACACCAGTAAAATTATTTATTATCCCTGACTGTCTACTGTGACAGCATGAAATATACAGAAACTTTACTAGTCATCATGAAAGCATTTCTGCACCTGACTTTCCTGACACTATCTTTAGAAGCAATAGATGTCTCTAACCTATACCTTTGCTACATGAATTAACAGAAATCTGTTATTATTACATTTAATTTTTAATGCCACTGGCAAGTCCCAATGCCTTAAAAAAATATTTGAAGGTGCATTTCCTTAGAAAAAAAAATCATATTCTACACAGGCAACCTTGATGGTTGCAAGTTGCATTCCAAATTGAACTGATAAATGCATTTCTCTTGAACATAAATCTTCATACAACTGGTCTACTTCAAGTGATGGCAAATTTGAACAATTTCACCCATAAAAGAGATCTTCCCCCGAATCTTTTTTTCTCATACTCCTTTCTTGCATCTGCAACCTGATGACACTTGATCACTTCACTGGAAAAAATACACAGAAAAAATGAAAAACAATTCATTAGCCAAGACTCAAGTTCAAAAACAAATGTTACTCAAGGAGAAAATAAATTCATAATAAAATAAAATAAAACTGTTTCCTCAGATGTAACATACAAAGTGAGCTTTGATGCATAAAAGAAAAATAAAGGGCCAGTTACTCACAGAAATTTGAGATCAATTTTCTGAATTTGGCTACAGTAATTTTCAATAAGGTAATAATAATAAAAACAAAAACAAAACTAGTTCTGTCACAAAGCTTATATTAAGAGACCTCTTCCTTCTTTTCTTTTTAACCTTAAAATAAGAAGACAGCTTAAAACTGCTGAGCCAAGCCAACATCTTTACTACTCCGTTTTTTTTCCCACTGGAAATGGCACGGCTCTCCGAAAAGCATTATACCATCATAAGAAATCAATCATTTAATTAATCAAACTTGGTGTCATCTTCATGTCTTTATGATAACTCTCACTCTACTTCCTTCTTACTCACGTCATCGTCATCATCATCATCATCATCATCTGAATCATCGGCATATTTCACTCTTTTCTTTCGTCCTCTCCCCTTGTCTCCTTTGCTTTTCTTTCCCTTCTTGGGCCTTACTTCCTCCTCCTCTTCCTCATCATCGTCATCATCTTCTGCCAAAAAGCCAAACTCATTGACACATCAATTCCACCTGAATTACATATTGCTACATATTTCTGCAGCAAAGCAATACATGCCATTACACTATGAATGGCAAAGACACACTGCCATGTTAACAGAATAACAAATAAACTTGTTTGGTTAGGTTCAAGTTTATCAAAACGGTGTGACTACAGCTTTGAAATCAAATTAGATTTCAAATATCTCACCTTTCTAACAGAAGTTTTTTTTTAAATCCACTAAGAACAAAAAAAAAAGTATATCATAGTATAAAACAATAAAATGAAGCCACAGCATCAGAAAGAGCACTTGCTAATAAATGTTAAATGGTCAACTTCTTAAAAAATATATTTAGTAAAATAAAAAGTAAATAAAACAATAATAAATAAATAAAAAAATAAACAAATGAAAAAAGTACAAATAAGATATGAATTACTAGATAACATTCTTTCAAAAATCATCAGCCCCACCTTCCTCCGGGAGGTTATCAGCCTCTGTCTCAATGCGTTCACGGGCATTGAGGAACACACTCTGCATGACTATGGAGTCTTCATAAATGATTGATGCTTCTTCGTTATATTCCTGAGCATTGCGGCACAGAAGCATGAAATCGCTCTCTACGTCATTCAAGTCTTCATACTGAAAAAGTTGCGAGTCATTAATGAAAATTATTAAAAGGAAGAAGGGAAGAACGATGGCAATTGAGAAAAAATACAAAAAATTATGTTTTACAAAGAATTTAAGACAATACATTTTTTGGGGGGTGATTCAAATTGAAATTTGCAAATCATGCAAAAAGCAAATATATCTCTTTTTTTCTTCACAACTAATAGTAACTGAAAAATAAATGCCCTTCACACAAGGTGTCCACACTGCACATTTCAAGTTCCAAACTTTAAGCTATAGTCTCACCCTTCCTTCCTCTATCTTGTTGAGTATCTTGCGAATATCCATGGGCCTCTTGATCACCTCGTAGTAGTCTGGAAGCTCCCGACGTGAAGGCAGCTTCATGAAGGGCTCACTCAGCACCCTTCCATCACTGTACAAGAGGAGCAATTGAGGTTAGTTGATAAAACCTGGATGTTAAGGAGAACTGATTTCTCTATAGCAATTTAGCATTATTAAAGAGAACTGAACTGTAACCTTAATTCAAATGTCTTGGACTTACCTAGAGCAATGTCACACCATAAAATAATTGCATGATCATTACTGTAATGATTAATAGGTATGATTCCATCATGAATTTGTTAACAACGAATGATACAGAATAGTGAACTACCTCAATTCACATTCCAGTTTAATCTAGAATCTTTGCCGCTAAAAAGGTATTTAAAACTCATCCTAATTCACGGACTTGAATGAATGAAAATACATATATAAAAAATAAAATAAAATATAAAATACGAAAATGATATTAATAATAATCCATACAAACTCACCTCTTTCCCGAACTATTTGTCCTAGTCCTAGAGCAAACATGAAAGCATAAATGGAGAGGGCTTTGAAAGTGTACACCAAGACAGAGTTCTTTATTTTCTTTCTTTCGTTTTTGATGAGGCTGTAGACCAACTATCTCCACTACAGATATTCAGTAACCATCCAATCAAAAACAGCTGCATGGTTACCCCAAGACACTTAAAGACCCTTCTCCTTCATGTAGTGCACAACAGTGTTAACACACTCTAGGAATGGGACAAAAGTCCATTACTTCATAATAGAGACAGTTTTACGAAAAAAGAAAATTTACAAGAGACTTGAGCACTACTTTCTACCTGTATAGTACAATCTGAAGTCATGCATATATATATATACACAGTATAAATCTTTTGAACTCTTAGAAAGCCTGGCAGAAACTTATGGTGCAAAATACAATGTTTGCAGACACTTACATACCCATATGCCAAAATGCTTAATAATCCAACACTTATCATAAACAACTCTTATCTACTTTACAAAATACACAGCAGAGCACAATCCCTAACTCCAGGTAGCTCTGAATGAGAGAATTCCCGAACACGTGAAAAATGTCTCATACTAGGTGGTGGCAAGAGGGCTTTTACCTGTCCTCGTATTTGATGACTATGTCCATCAGACGCTTGAGCTGCTTGATCAGGCGTTTGTTCTTGGGGCCCGGTTTCTCCCTCGCCGGTCGACCTCGTTTCTTGGGCTTGGGGTCGTCATCGTCGTCATCGATCCTCCTCCGCTTGCCCTTGGAACCGCGCTTGCTCTTGCTGCCATTGGCCTCCTCTTCATCATCATTCTCCATTGCCTGAAAAATCATGCATCAAGTAAACCTCTGGTCTAAGATAACAAAACCTTGTGGATTATGATAAGAACACAAAGAAACTACTTCTGGTCATTCTGTACCATTCCTGCAAAAAAAGAATCTTGCATACCTGTAAGCCAAACCAATACAAAGGCAAATCACACTGCTACAAATAAAACAATAATATCTACTATGGATGAGTAGTCACAAAGTATTGCAATAATATTCATTATTGAAGACTAAATGCAGCAAAGATCACATTCTTTCAGTATCATTTTCAATTCAGCTTCTTAAAGTGTGATTAACATCATTATTCCATCTCAAAGCCTATTAGCTATCTGAGAACAGATATAACTACCTTTTAGCATAAAAAAATCAATCTACATCTAAAAAACAAAGTGTGACCTTTCTTCTAGGTGATCATCAAAAGCTTTTATATAACAAAAGACAAAGAAATTGTGAAGGAGATATAAATCTACAACGTATTACTTTGGTAGTTACTTCAGCCAGCAGTAAGACGTGCTTCTTGGCAAAAGGGATCAAACATAAGGTCTCTTTTGTAGCATCCTGAAACCCCCAAAACTTTGAAACATTGATATTGGCTTGTGGTTGCAACAAAACTATAGTGTTTCACAACAGATCATTGAAATGTGTTCTGACATACAAAGTTTTGAAGAAAAAGAAAATTAGACAACACAGCAGAGCACAATCCCTAACTCCAGGTAGCTCTGAATGAGAGAATTCCCGAACACGTGAAAAATGTCTCATACTAGGTGGTGGCAAGAGGGCTTTTACCTGTCCTCGTATTTGATGACTATGTCCATCAGACGCTTGAGCTGCTTGATCAGGCGTTTGTTCTTGGGGCCCGGTTTCTCCCTCGCCGGTCGACCTCGTTTCTTGGGCTTGGGGTCGTCATCGTCGTCATCGATCCTCCTCCGCTTGCCCTTGGAACCGCGCTTGCTCTTGCTGCCATTGGCCTCCTCTTCATCATCATTCTCCATTGCCTGAAAAGTCATGCATCAAGTAAACCTCTGGTCTAAGATAACAAAACCTTCTGGATTATGATAAGAACACAAAAGAAACTACTTCTGGTCATTCTGTACCATTCCTGCAAAAAAAGAATCTTGCATACCTGTAAGCCAAACCAATACAAAGGCAAATCACACTGCTACAAACAAAACAATAATATCTACTATGGATGAGTAGTCACAAAGTATTGCAATAATATTCATTATTGAAGACTAAATGCAGCAAAGATCACATTCTTTCAGTATCATTTTCAATTCAGCTTCTTAAAGTGTGATTAACATCATTATTCCATCTCAAAGCCTATTAGCTATCTGAGAACAGATATAACTACCTTTTAGCATAAAAAAATCAATCTACATCTAAAAAACAAAGTGTAACCTTTCTTCTAGGTGATCATCAAAAGCTTTTATATAACAAAAGACAAAGAAATTGTGAAGGAGATATAAATCTACAACGTATTACTTTGGTAGTTACTTCAGCCAGCAGTAAGACGTGCTTCTTGGCAAAAGGGATCAAACATAAGGTCTCTTTTGTAGCATCCTGAAACCCCCAAAACTTTGAAACATTGATATTGGCTTGTGGTTGCAACAAAACTATAGTGTTTCACAACAGATCATTGAAATGTGTTCTGACATACAAAGTTTTGAAGAAAAAGAAAATTAGACAGATAAAAATGCTGTTGTTTTTTGTTAGTAGCAAGAATTATATAAGCTTAAAAAGGTATCTGATCATTCAGTTACTTATATTATTTATTTACAAAACACTTTGTTTTGCAAGACTGTGGAAACCTTCAAATGTATTTCTCAGATTCAGACAATTTTTTTTCTTATTTTCTTATACTGCGCATTCAATGTATTTCATGCAGAAAGTGGAAGAAATATTTCTTGAAGATTTGTGGGATAATTCTAATGATCAAAGACATTTGCTAATGCTGAAAACTGTAACATATCAACAAATGAAGTTATACAGTTGTTTCTTTTGTCATTTTTAATATTGAAGATATTGAGGATATTCATCATTCTGAAGTCAGTACCATAACACATGACCCAGACATGTTGGAAATTCTTACCATATGGTTTCAGCAACTTTCAATATGACTTCAAATTTTACTCACATAGTGTGAACATGTATTTAATAGACAACCAAAATGGCATAGAAACATTTTTCTTCATCTTTGTATATGGATTTTATATCAAGAAACATATAATAAGATTAATCATTAATGAAAATATAAATCCCTAACTGTGACTTGCATGAAATATATTGAAGAGTATTGTGTTCTTATTGACTGGCCATATCACACTGTTTCCAGCTTTCAACTAGTTCTAATAATGTGCAAGTAAAGGACAAACATGTCTGAGGATACAGCAAAATGTTTAGGGTTTCTGGAATGCTACAAAAAAGGCTTATAAGAAAGCATTATAGAAAAAATAATCAAATCAAATTTTAAAATATTCATTATAATGAAATAATACCAAGAACAATAATAATAATACAAACTATAACAATACTTGATAATAATAATCATTATAACAAAAGTAACAATAACAATGATGATGGAAAAAAATAATTAATAATAAATAGTGGTAATAATAATAGCTAATAATGATAATAATAATCAATAATAAACAGTGATAATAACAATTAATAATTAATAATGATAACAATAATAATTACAAAATAAGGAAAAACACTTATCAATTCAACATTCTCTCTGTAACAGCTTTGAACATTCAGATCCTGTCAAAACTCTCTTACCTCCTTCCCATCCTCTTCTACTGCCTGCATGGAACAGAAATCAGTATTCTAAATATACTGACCAAAATACAAGCGCAAACATTGTTTTCCTTTCCATCTCCCCCCAATCCTCTCGCTCATCTTTCAAGCAGCTTCATAAAACATTTCATTACACAGAGCCAAGGCACATGAAAACTGTAGGTCAATGTCATTCCAATTTTAGATATCAGTTCTTTGTTGACAATGCACTTGCTGAAGCTAACCTTCCAGTCTTAAGTGTAGGTTCAAATGAGGGAATGCATCCAAAGGACTTCTCAGGGCAATTGTTTGAAATTTCTGTTTATTAAATGTTTCATCAGATTAAATTTTCATCTATAACATAGCACTGATACCTTCATTAATGCACTAAAATCTTATAGCTGAAGTGCATTAACATGAACAACATGATGCTTCTGGTACACATGAAAGTTTAAATTAACCAAACATTTCATAAATGCATTTCCACAGAATTGCTCTGAGTGCAATGCACATGGCCTCAAATAATACCCTATATCCCCCCTTCAGAATGTAATTAAATATGGATCATTTAACAAAGTAGCAGACCATCATTCATGCACAAAGCATTTAGCAACCACTCACCCCAATAGCTCGCAACCACTCCTTCTCTGTCAGGCTGTCTGAAT